TTTATCCTCCTACTCTACTACAATTCAGAGAGATACCTTTTTTACTCCAATGCAGTTATTTGTTACGTACAGTTACGCTTTACATTTAGAACACACTATAAGATGCAGTAGTAATATACTACGTATCTACCCAGTGGTATACAGAGTTAGCCAAATGTAAATGCTCTTGCATGTACTAGTGATTGATGACACTGAAATAAAATCACTGAATTCAAATCTCTAATAATATAAGACTTTGAAAAGAGTAATCCTGCATAATGAGTTCCTTTTATGTGTTTAAGTAAAGGATTAAAGTATCCCTGCTAGCAGGAGCCGTCGTTAACTCTATAGTTACAACCTGATCCAACACATCTGACTTTTAATCAAAAAGCATTGGTGTAGTTCAGAAAGAAGGGCTGAGTTTGTGAGGTGTGGTGTGTCCCGCCCTGTCACAGGCCGTTAGCTCAGTTCTGGCTCCACTGTGCCGTCATGGGATCACTGCTAAACATTAGAGACTCTTCTTGGTTTCCTCTCATCTCACTCCTCTAGCCTCGAGACACGGCTGCACAGAAAGAGATGATTGTCCTTCAACTTCAAGGCCGCGATAACATCTCTCCGGCCTCCCCCTCACCTCCCCCTCTGGTTTAACACTTACAATGCTGATGGTACACTTTTCTCTGTGCTGCCCGCCTCTCAGTGGCTTCCAGGGCGACTGCTCCTCCTCCACCAATCAATATCCACTGCACTGATGTTAAGAGACAGGGATGAGAACCATTCAGGCTCTCAATATTACCCGACTGTCCATCAAAGGTTAATATACTGCAGTCATGTCCTCCTTTTTAAACACATCGGTTTAATAGAACTGCAAAGCCAATTTCAATTGAACTCTAATCAAAGAATGAGTTCCCATCCGGAGGTTAAGCTCCTCGTCATATATCTCATTATATCCTGGATTTATCTCATGGCATTGTTCATGTGCTTCCTTCCAGTGGCTCAGTCAGTAGGGGCTTGGACTGGGAGCCGTAGGGTTCAAGTCCCCGAACAGACCTAAATATTGAGAGTGGACTGGTACTTGGAGAGGTCCTAGTTCACCTCCTGGGCCCTGCCGTGGTGCCCTTGAGCAAGAATGCGGTGGGCAGCTGTACAATAGCTGCCCACCGCTCCTAGTTCTAGGATGGGTAAAATGCAGAGGTGAGATTTCACCGTGTCTGCTGAGTGCATGTGTGTGTGACAATTAAAGAGGGTTTCATCCTCCAATTCTATATTTATATAAATTCAGTGACAGGAGAAGGCTCAGATTTCCCTCCTGTATGTCCCACAGATGTTTGTCCACCTTAACCCCCCCTCCTCCCAGGCGGCATCTTCTTCGTCCACGAGAGCTTCGTCCTGCAGCACGCCGCCGCCATCTGCGAGTGGGTCTTCACGGTGGACATCCTGGTCTTCTACGGCACCTTCACCTACGAGTTCGGCACCGTCACCAGCGAGACCATGATGGCGGGTCTGCAGCACTGTCTGCACCACGGCTCGGGGATCCTCATGGGCCCCAGAGCGCGGGGCTCGACACTGGGAGGGGCCACGAAAGGCCTCAAGTCCCCCGGGGGGAGCAGCACCTCCACACATCTCAACTGCACGCCGGAGAGCATAGCGATGTTGTAGCTCTGCAGCCGGAGGTGGAGGAGAGGCTCTGACATGTTTAAACATTGGACCTACACCAGGTGACCCATCTGTAATGCTGTACTATCCCTCCCTTCGTTTCCACGGTGACGCGCGCCGCTACAGGGACGTTTCCTGTAGCCATGTTGTAAAGAGAGGCTGAATGTGTGGAGCCATGAATGTTTTCCAAGATGGCGGTTTGATTTGTTTTTATTTCCTGAGCGACACTTTTTCCTTTTTCTAACTTTGCATACCTGTTGTGCCCACAAAGTCCCCCCCCCCCCTCACCCGAAACTCCTTCATGAGCCCCCGATGCTTAGCGCGGCCTACCTGTTTTTGGCCTTTTGCTTATCTCTGCACGGCACACTTTTTCTGGATTGAGAGAATAGCAGTTTTATGTTTTTAAATTTAGCGTAGTTAATGGGTCATATTGAATGTTTGAGAAGTGAAGTTATGTTTTACATGCTTTAAGCATATGGCCTTTTTTTTTATCAATCAACGTAATTATGTCAAATGATTCGCAAAAAAATCTTGATTTCAATCGACAATATTGTTTTGATTGCACAGATGATTTTGAATGCACATTTTGATGGTATTCTGAGTTGTTTTCCAAACGATGTATAGTTGGAGCCACTATCATTGGGGAGATCATGTGAGTGAAGAACGTTAACACAGCAGCTGTTCTGGGGTCTGCATCACTGAGAGTCTCTGAAGCCCCTCGATGACTTATTCCAGTATCGTCCCACCTGTCGCATGATTTCTTTGTATCATTTTACATTTCATGCTGCCCTTTTTTTTTTTTTTTTTCATTGACTGTCATGTCCGGTGCAATAATTGTCATCAATCTTGAGATAATTTTCGCTCCGCTGGAGTGTATAATGCCTTTTTCAGTGTGTTGGGATTGAACCCAGGGCTTTGTTTTAGTTTGTATTTGAGTTGACACAAAGACTTTTTGAAGTGACCTACATGTTATAGTAAACGAGTGATGGTAAATGTATAATCCAACTAAAAGTATAACAAAGTTGTCGCCCACATGCTGATTTGATTCCAGGCTGGACCCTTGGAAGCCGTATCTGACTTCAGAGAAAAGTTGTTCTGTTACAAAACGAGTCCTTTTTAGGGAAAGTTCATGTATCCGATGCTTTTAGACCTCATGGCGTTACCAGGGTGACATCACAGTGTTACAAACAGACACTAATACCGCACAGGTTGTAGAGTGAAGAATGTTTTTGTATGATTTCCTGTTGCCAATTTCTTTTAAAGTGATACTTAACACCAGACTGCCACACACTACTACCACTGCTCGAACTAAAGCTGACCAATGCCTCCAATTTTAGAATAGGATATTTTTTAGTGAAATGAATGAGAAGTATATTCCCTGTTAACACACAGTATTCTGCCCTCTAGTACATTTGAACTATCTAACCACTGATGCCAGCAATACACAGTCTTTTTTTAAAGAAAGGTCACATCACCTACCTCTTTTTATCTTTTCGTGGGTTTGATGTTCCGAGGCAAAATGCTAGACTTCCAACATGTTTCTCCATCTCACAGCGAAGAGTTTGAGAACAGTATTTAACGCCATGGTGGCTCTGCAATCCACAGTCCAAAGTGTCTGCATTTAAGGAAACTGTGGGTCTGCTTTTACACCGGCTGAGTAATCATGTGTCAGGTCAGTTTTCTTTACTTTCTGTGCAAATTATTTATCTCGCGATTGTTTCTGCGATTGTGTTGTTCTGCAGATCTTGCCAAAAAAGACGGGAGTCCTCTGGAGATTTGATTGGTTTTCTGTGCGTCAGCAGGAGGTGTATGAATCGTTATGGGTGCACTGTTTTAGCCTTATCCCTCGTACTGTGCCAGGGGAACATGATCATATTGCTTTCTTTTTATCTTGTGTTCAGCTGTAGCCAATTTCACTAAACTGTAACAAAGTCACATGGTGTGACTGCAAATGGCAGCTTGTATGAGCCCTCACGTCAGGGCTGGATTTATTCTGTAACATCTCTTACATAACGCCATCTTCCAGAAGCCGAAACCTAACGGTGGATTTGACATTTTTGCTTTTGTTGTCTCTCACAATGTACACCTAAGCTTTCATATGGTATCTTTGTTGGTGGGAGAATCCTATATGAAGAAAGGCTGCCTGACCTGTACACACCTTGAACTCTTCAACACAGAAACAATGTCTATTCAGAAATGTATTCATATTTCCTAAATCTTTGAAAAAGATGTTAAAGAATGGTAATGGAGTCAGAGAAATCCCCCGAAGACAAGTCAACACAGATTATCGTTTCCTTTTTATAAATTCTGTAAATATGTATGATTTGTCTATCATTTAGGGTATTTTCATTTGACAGAGATTTATATTCAAATATGAAATAAAAATGATAAATTATTAAATGTTTGGCATTGGTTGTTTTTTAAACTAACAAATTGCTTGTGTCAAAAAGCTCTTTATTTTTCTCATACTGCCTTTACTGAAGCACCTTTTCACCCTCTGTCTGAAACCAGAGCCCAGTCTGCTCTGATTGGTTAGCTGGCTAGCTCTGCTGTGATTGGCCTAGAGATGTCCCGCCATATAGCTTTGGGATTTTAGCCTTTTATAAGCACACAAACCTAAAGAACGCAACACAGTAAAGAAAGGGTGTCTAGCAAAGGGACACATCGACATGGCGACTGCTTTTTTCATCACACATTCACACGATATAGTATGCCATTCAACATTATAAAAAGGCAGTGTATTGTATCTTATAACAAATCAATTCAAAGTGATAGTATAGTATGCATAAAATGTCCTGATCATGTCACAAAAAGTAAGTAATGACGTAACGGTACATTTAAAAATGTAATAAGAGGGTGGTGGTGATGGAGTCAGAAAAAATTCAACAGATATTATTTTGTTTCCTTTTTATAAATTCTGTAAATATGTATGATTTGTCTTTAAAGGTATTTTCATTTGACAGAGATTTATATTCAAATATGAAATAACAATTACCAATTGTTAGATGTTTTGCATGGGTTGTTCTTCAAACACAGGAATTTTTTGTATTTTTATAAACAACAAATAACACGGTAAGTTGGTGTTTTAAACATGACATCATACAGTACTTGTGGAATCGTTTCAGTAACACCTGCTAACAGGGACATTTGTAAAAAACAGAAACAACCTGTGGAGCAGAAAACAGAAAGCATGGCTTGCATAAACACTTACTGCTCGTTGAAATGACATAAATATACCCTGGTTCAACAGATTTTCACTAAGGAAATGGAATGGTTTAATATAAAATGCATGATGATAAATGTAGGATCCAGTATCTTTGGAGTTCAACCCTCACGATATCTTGGCCTCTTCTGCTTCCATTTACACATTCCTACCTGTGATCTGCCTTCAAAGAGCACATATGATGTGTGTAAGTGTACACTGTTTATACTGCATTGCTGAAGTGCATTGTGAAATAAAATCTCTGAGTAACTGATTAAAATATATTTGGGTCTTTAAATAATTCCTATTAATCAGGCAAATACAGCTGAACAGCTGTGCGTTTAAAGCTTAAAGATTTATATTTAAAAGGCATAAAGCATCTGAACAGAAATGACTCAAAAGCTTACTCATCTTAAAATATAATCATTCTAACTAAGAAGCATTTATCCAAACTTTCAAATTATTTCAGGAAGGTCACACAAATGGCTGGCCCTGTGTTAACATCAAATGATGTTGATACATATTTGTAATATTGTCTTGTATTTAGATAGCGGTGCCAGGTGTGGTGGCTTCAAAGTGTGCAGTTTTGCTGATGGGAGATACTTGAGATTAAATGTATATATCTGACTACAAATATAAAAGGTAAAGAAGGGTTTATACCCCACTCATGCTTGAAATCACATTCTGTATTCAATTCTTTCAGTAAAATGTCACTGTGCCACAGACTTGCACCACAGCGGAGTCTCGTCATGTGTACATGGAGCCATGGAGGTCCTCCAGCCGGTGCTCCCTCTGCCTTCTCCTCTCCTGCAGGAAACAAACACACTTTGGAACAACGGACTGATGCCACATGGAGAGGCACAGCTAAAAGAAGAGGATGTACCATGAAAAATTATATTCACACACTCACCTTGTCTTTTTTAAACTCCTCATACTCTGGATTATCAGTCGGTAATTCAAGTCGGCAGAGCGGACAGGAGTTAGTCTGTGGTTGCAAAGATGAAAAAGATTCAAAAGGATTTCTACGTAACCACTCAAACGTTTCCATTTACAATCAAGAATTTAACTCTGAATTAGAAAATGTGAAGCTCTACCTTTCCCAACCACGGCAGTATACATCCCGAGTGGAAAAGGTGTTTACAAGGCATCTCCCGAACGGACTCCTCCTCCTCGAACTCCAGCAAACACACAGGACACTTCAGACCTTTGTCTGTGGGAACAAAAAAACAAAAGAAAACATTGGATAAATCCCACCCTACTTTCACCAAGCATTATCTCTCCCTCTGCCTCTACATTCGTTACATTTAAAAACAGACATTTTGAAGTGGGGTTGTATGAGAAACATATCCATAGTCAGTGTTACCTACAGTAGCAGAGTAAAAGTCTCCAGTTTGGACGAACAGACAGGAGTAACAGTACAAAAAAACAAACAATATACTGCTTTCAACAGGGGCAGCAGCAAACCACAATACTAATGGATTTAAGTTTGAGTAATATATACTTTTTGAGTACTTCAACGCTTTAACTTGCGGTCAGACAGCCGTTTTTCAGTCAATCTGTGAAGCCACCAGATTGATTGACAAAAACAGTCAGTTTTTCACAGCAGTACATTTCCAGGTCTGTTTAAAGATCTCCTATCATTTTTAGGCATATATTATGGGTCTCAGATATATACAAATACATAAAAAATATGTCTATGATGTGTTTTGCTCAAAATACGAAACATCCCTCATATCCCTCTGCTCTGTTTCAGCCCTGTTAGAGCAGTGCTTCTCAAAGTGTGGTCCGTGAGCGCCCCCTAGTGGTCCGTGAGTATATTGGTAACATTTCACATTTTAAATAAATAATTTTGAATTTA